TTTTTTGAGACAGGGTCTCACTGTCACCTAGGCTAGAGTGCAGTGGTACAATCTTGGGTGACTGCAGCCTTGACCTCCCAGGCTCAAGTGATCCTCCCAACTCAGTCTCCTGAGTAGCTGGGACTACAGGTATGTGCCATTGTGCCCAATTAATTTTTTATAGAGAGAGGGCCTCATTACGTTGCCCAGATGGTCTTGAACCCCTGGGTTCAAGGGATCCTCCTGCCCCAGCCTGCCAAAGTGCTGGGATACAGGCAAGGTCTCACTATAATTATTTAGAAAAAATATAGTTGCACTATGGACAAAGTGGGGGGACTGACATTCAGCCCAGCTATGTGCAAGGCATCATGCACATGGAACATGCAGTACCCAAACTGGAATATGGTGAACAATGACATTCAGAGTTAAAAAACTAGTTCTCAAACAATATTTGAGCAGGAACTCCAAGTTACTTACTCTTCACAGTGGGTTTCCTAGGATCATAGGAAACAGTGCTGCTGACCACTGGTGCCAAGTGGGCACTGCTGGTGCTTGGGCCATCATAGGCCGGCTCCTCGGGGCTGGGGTTAAAGCTGTTGCTGCTGGCGGAAACCTGGCTGCTTCCCATGGGGTATGGGGCTGGCTTAATCCTGCAACACAGGACAACGCTGATTAGCCACGAGCACAAGAAATCTGCCCTGAGCATGAACAGCCTGAAGCTGGCCTGTGTGAGGACAACTCACCCTGTCTGTGGCTTTGACCAGTAGACCCTAGCACCCTGGATTCTGGTGGTGGCTCAGAGATGTCTGCATTATCCCTTCAGAATAAATGATAATCTCAAGTAACTTTTCACTGTTTTGGTGTAAATCTGTATTTTGAAAATCATAATGTGGCTCAGACAAAATAACAATCATTGCAGAAAAGTGTTTTTTGTTTAAATGGGGAAAGGAGAAGCAGAAGGGAATGTTTCCTATAAGCCAGGCTTTGCTCTCCATTTAATCTTGACTTCCCTAGGGCAGGAGTAATTATCTACCTTGCACTGCAGTCCAAGAAGCAGAGGCTCAGGGAGGTCAAGTGCTGAGCTGATGAGGTCTGCCTCCAGAGCCCACAATCTGCACTGCCTTGCTTTCACCAAAATCCAGTTGCTTCCTGCTACTATGGCTACCTCTAAGGGTTGATAGCACACAAAAGCCAGGTAGGAACAGAGATCTTACTTGATTTTCTCAGGGACAGCTGCTCCTCCAGTTCCAAACTTTTCCTGCCTCCTCCGGACGTCACGAGGTGGCTTGGCCACAGAGTTGACAAAAGCCATCTTTGCTTGTCGGCCTGTGGAATTATGGAGATCAATATCTGCCTTCTTAAGCAGAGGTGCTATTATTAAATAATCCACTGCTCTGAAACCCCACCATAGGGTATTATGGGCTGTGGCAGAAGAAACACCCACCCTGCCACCTGATGTAGGGCCAGCAGTCCTACACCAGCCAGGGCCCACTAAGACCCTGCTACTGACCAGAACACTCATCCCGCTGGCTCTTCCTCAGCTCTCCCGTCTCTGTTACCTTTGGGCTTATTAGCATGAGCAGATTGGATATTCTTTGTTAGTACTCGTAGCCGCTGCTCTCGGGCATCCTGAAGCCGCAGGTACATCTCTCGCCACGACTCATACTCTTCAGGTCTTTCTTCCTTAAAGTCTCGGTGACAATGAACTTTCCATAATTGATCTGTTTCTTCAATTAATACCTGAAACCAGAACCAGGACATCATTTATGTACAAGCACTTTTCCGTATCTTTTTTTTTTTTTTTTTTGAGACAGAGCCTTGCTCTGTCACCTAGGCTGGAGTGCAGTGGCGCAATTTCAGCTCACTGCAACCCTTGCCTCCTGGGTTTAAGCGATTCTCATGCCTCAGCCTCCTGAGTAGTCAGGACTACAGACACGTACCACCACGCCCAGCTAATTTTTTATATTTTTAGTAGAGATGGGGTTTTGTCATATTGGCCAGGCGGGTCTCGAACTCCTGATCTCAGGTGATCTGCCCATCTTGGCCTCCCAAAGTGCTGGGATTACAGGCATGTCACTGCACCCGACCCCATATCTTTCTTTAATTACCTAGGAATGACCAGTTTCCTAATGGCGTTTTGGTCTTCATAGTAGTATTTTTTTTTTTTTCCTGAGATGGAGTCTGGCTCCCATAGTCCAGGCTGGAGTTCAGTGGGGCAATCTTGGCTCACTGCAACCTCCACCTCCCGGGTTCAAGCGAGTTTCCTTCCTCAGCCTCCCCAGTAGCTAGGATTACAGGTGTATGCCCCATGCCCAGCTAACTTTTTTTTACTAGAGACGGGGTTTCGCCATGTTGGCCAGGCTGGTCTTGAACTCCTGACCTCAGGTGATCCACCTGCCTTGGCCTCCCAAAGTGCTAAGATTACAGGTGTGAGCCACCACTCTTGGCAGTCTTCATAGTAGTAGTATGTTAAAATACCACAATTCTAGGGAAAAAATAGCTCACTAAATTTTAAAAATGCTAAGTGTGAGGCACTATGCTAGTTGCTTTTGGTGGCTGTGACAGAAGACAACGCAAAAACTAGTATAAGATCAGTCTTTTTCTTTTAGAAAATGAGCAAAGGATAGAACTGGGATCAAGTTAAATCAGGTGCTTCCCAACACTATGCTGTGATGGGAAGGAAACAACCTGAGAAGGATGTTGTTATTGGCCGGATGCAGTGGCTCATGCTTGCAATTCCAGCACTTCAGGAGGCCAAGATGAGAGGATCACTTGAGGCCAGGAGTTTGAGAGTCCATCTCTCCAAAAAATAAAATATTAACCAGGTGTGGTAGTATGTGCTAGCAGTCCCAGCTACCTGGGAGGATCACTTGAGCCTAGGAGTTCAAGGATGCAGTGAGCCATGATCAGGCCACTGTATAGCAGTGTCTAGGCAACAGAGGTAGACCCCGTCTCCCCCTCCGCCGCCCCCCACCAAGAAAAAGGCATTAGGTTATAGACCTCTCAGAATTAGAGACAGCTGATGCAATCAAATGCATATATCCACATCATAAGGAGGGTTTCTGGATAGATCTTAATGTCTCTTAAGAGACATCCAACCTACCACCAGATGTCAGAGTGTCAACACAAAGTACTGTCCCCACCCTAGGTCCTAGCTGCTCTGCTGCCAGAATTCTCCCTTGACCTTCATGACCAGGCAAGCTCAAGGGAGGTGTTAAAAGTGTTTTTCTTCTCCCTTTGAATCCCACCGTGATCCTGGCCCAAGAGGCCCACTTAAGATGCCAGGAGCAAGTGCTAATAACATGCTTATTTAAAGGCCCAGTGGCAAACCACATATACCCAGAACAGTGCTGTGACTAGTGGTCTGCCCTTCAGCCACAGGCAGTCACAAATTTCTGCAGGCACAAGCGAGAAAACTGCCCTCTTCCCACCCAAACAGAATACTCACGTGGTTGTATTCCTCTATGCGATACAGCTGATCAGGTGTACACCTCTCCAAAACGGGTTCAAGAACAGAGTATGGGACTCCTCCCACTTCAAAGATTGCTGCAGAGAAATCAAAGGTGAAGGCACTGAATAGCAGCCAAGCCACTCAGTGATAAGGTCCAAATGCTACAATGTGCTTGAGAGCTAGAGAGAAGCGTGTGACTTACAATCGATGTTGTTTTTTAGTACTCGGATGCATTGCTGGTGCAAGGTCATCATTTTGGGGAGATAGGCACATTTGGAACCAGAATACACCTGCATCTTGGAATTCATTCTGCGCCCAGTAAATCCAGCTTCTTCTTCTTCCTGGGGTGAAGAGAATGCTACAGGGCAAGAAAAACCCAACAGCAAATTACAAAAGGCCCTAAGTGATCCAGTGAAAACTCTCCTTCTAACCACCTCAGCCCCCACTTCCCTTTCCCAATGACAATCAATGCTAAAGTTTCTTTTAGATCCTTCCAGAGACTTTAAAAATAAGCTCCTGTAATCCCAGCACCTTGGGAGGCCAATGGATCATCTGAGGTCAAGAGTTCAAGACCACCCTGGTCAACATAGCAAAACCCCATCTCTGCTAAAAATACAAAAATTAGTCAGGTGTGGTGGCAGTCGCCTGTGGTCCCAGCTACTCAGGAGGCTGAGGCAAGAGAACTGCTTGAACCCAGGAGGCGGAGGCTTCAGTGGGCCAAGATGGAGCTGCTGCACTCCAGCCTGGGCAACAGAGGGAGACTCTATCTCAAACAAAACAAAACAAAACAAAACAAAGCAAATGTCTCTTATTCCTTTTAAGCCAATTAATCAATAACATATGCATCTTAGAGATCATTCCATGTCAGTGTATAAAGACATTCTACTTTTCTTTTTTTTTTCCACTGTGGCATAGGATGCCATTGTGTAGATGAACCATGATTTATCTGTTAGTTTCCTGCTGACGGACACTTACATGGCTTCTAGTTCTTTTGCTATGAAAGTTAGACATTTTTTCTTTCAGACAAAAACCATAGGTAACAAATAGAATAAAGGACTGCTAATAGCAGCATCAATTTACTGAACAATTACTATGTGATAAGCCCAGAGCTAAAAGGCATCACTTTTGAATTCACTAAACTGAGCCCTATAGGGCAGATACCATTATAACTCCCATTTACCCAATATACAACTAAGGTCCAAAGAAATTAAGATATGGGCCGGGCGCGGTGGCTCACGCCTGTAATCCCAGCACTTTGGGAGGCCGAGGCGGGTGGATCACGAGGTCAAGAGATC